CCCCCGCCCGCTCCCCCAGCCCCCCCATGGTTGCCCCACCTGACGTGGCTCCGGCCCTTTAAGGAAAAAAATTGGGGAAAAACCCCGGACTCACCACTGCTGCAATGGCCTCGGGGCTTTGGGGGGGCTCATGCACCATGTGGGGAGCAGCAGGGATCACACCCACTGCTGGGCAGGAACAGTGAAACCAGGAGGTTGGGGGGGGGGGTTCTTAAAGGGCTGGAGCCGTGGCAGGTGGAGCAGCCACGCATGAGGACTGGGACAGTGGGGGGGGGACAAGGGGCTCATGCGGACCCCCCCGTGAAGCATGGGGCAGTGGGGGGCAGCAGAGATCGTCCCCCCACCCGGCAGCACCCACTGAGTCAGGGTTTTTCTTTTTTAATAAGTGCTGGGAGCTGGGGTGGGTGGGGCAGTCGTTGCCAAGCTAGCGGGGAAATGGGACTGGCTGATTTGGCCGAATCAACTCAGGACAGTGATTCGAATCACCAGATTGAATCGCTGTCCCCTGAATCGGCTGAATCTGAATCCAAAGTAAATACTAGCTGCTTTGCACAGGTGTATTAAGCAGTGATTCAGCAGTTTTCTCTGTATGGCCCCAGTTCAGGAAAGCACTTAAGCATGTGTGTGCCAGGGGCACAGGACCGGGAAGGGGGAAAGCCTTGTCCAGAGGCAAACCCCTAACCGAAGAAAAGAAAGAGAAAAAAAAAATAATTTAACTGTTCCGGGGCGGGGAGGAGCAAGGAAGCTTGGGGTGAGAAGCCGCCTGCGCTGTTTGTAAGCTGTGCCTATACACAGCTGGAGCCGGGTGATATTATGGGGAGACGCCACCCAGCGGAGATGAAAGGGAGCTGCGAAAGCGCGGGAAGACCACCGAGGGCCAGAGAACTGGCAAGGACCCACCGGCCAGGAGGGGACCAGCCACGGCGGACGGCAGCTGGCAGCGGATGGTAGCCGGCAGCGGCGACGGCAGCTGCGGAAGTGGCAGGGGATCCCTGACCCAGGGAAGACTGGCAGGGATCAAGGACACCGGCGGAGAGGCTGGCAAAGGCAGCAGCAGCAGCAGCAGCTGCAGGAACAGGAGCAGTGGAAGCAGTGGGAGATCCCTGAGCCGAGGATCAGCGGGGATTGAAGACGCCGGCAAGGAAGCCGGCAGGAAAGCCAGCTGTAGTAGCTGCAGCGGCAGGGAACCCCCGAGTTGGAGAAGCCTGGCAAGAGCCGAAGGAGCCGGCGGAGGGACCCATGGTAACCCCGGGGAGAACTGGCAGCCAAACCTAATCATAGGCAGTGGGGGCTATAGCCCTGAGTGGAGGCAGGGCCCGGAGAGGAAGAGAGAGGGACCCCAGCCAGGGCGAAGGCACGGGTCCCAACTCATAGGGTTCCCAAGTCTAAGGGCGTCGAGCATGCTAATGGTGTACAGAGCTCGCAATGGACGCTCCGTTTCCTTCAGGGTCCTTCTCCTCTTTCCTTTTGGCTACACTTCAGCACAGTAGCAGGTTTGTTCATTCTGTGTCACAACAGATGTTTCAGGGAAGAGGGGTTTAGGGTCAAGGCAGTGGCAGTGGTCCCCTTTAGGGCCCGTTTATTTCCATTCCCTTTGTGAGGGTAGATGAGTGGAGTCCTCAGCACCAGGTGAGGGTGGCTAGGACCCCGTGGAAGGGTTGAGAGAGAGGTTGTGCAGGAGCACCCTGGGAGCAGGTGCTAAGGCACCAGAGAAGACAGGCCCAAAAGCCAAAAGGTCTCCAGGCCAACCCACCAGAGTTCGGCCAGGGCCCAGGACGGTCACTGTCGTGAGGCAACACAGAGACCAGGGAAGACACCTGTGGGGGCTGGCCTCAAACTAGACTCGGAAGCCCATCTCAAAAGAGTGGTGCTTGGCTGGGGTGTAGGGGAGGTTAGAGCCCCGTAAGCGCCCGCCAAGACACATGACAGCCCTGGAGGCAGCTCCAAAGGGGACCCCCTCCACTGAAGAACCATTCAGAGTTGTGGCAGGCAAGTTAGGGGGTCTCCCGGAAGACAACCAAGGTATCCTCTGGGATCTGCACGTGGGACTCTGGCAGGCAAGATCAACTGCTTGGGGCAAAGGTGGCACGGGAGCATACAATAGAGCGGAGGCAGGCACAATGTGCTTAAGTATAAACGAACAGTGAGGTCAGTTAGACTGTGCTTAGAGTTAAGCCTGTGCTGAAGTGCTTTGCTGAATTGTGGCCATAGAGCTTTGTTGAGTAAGCAGGTATCTTTATTATATAGTCTCTTTACAGTTGCATGCTAATATTTCAGGATAATATAGTTGCTAAATTGAAAAACCAAAGCATGAGCACAACTATTAAGCCTCCTGTTATGAATGGGAGGAATCTCCCTAACCTCAGGGTAAATGGTAATGAAAATTAGAGCTGCAAAAGCAAGTTCTGTACTGGGCAAGGTGATTTTCTTTGCATACTAGTTTAACTCCATTAGCTTAAATAAAGTCACTCTTCATTTTCATTAATATGAGGAAAGAAATAGGCTTCTGAAACATTTAACCTTGGAAAAATAAGGTCTGATGTTTAGAAAACTGGATCCTAGTAACTTAGAACTTGACATGGGATACCTGTATTGTGGTAGAATGTCATCTGCAAGTGATTTCCACGTGTGCCTTGTAAGAGACCAGATATTTTTTGGCTACCAGTATTTGTCAGGACATTATATGTGTCCTGTGCCACCTCATACTCCCACATCAAGGTACAAAAAACAGGATGGCCAAAATTGTGCCTCAGTTTCCTCTTTCAACACATGGAAGCTGGATGGAACCCAACAGGTATTCAACTTGCTACTTCTTAGTTCTGGCTACAGTTCAAAAACTTATGAAATATTCAGAACTACTTCCCCCCCATCCTCCCACTATTTTCAGTGCTTTGAACTGATCAAGCAACCGTTAGACTAGGCTAAGTTGGTCAAACCCTTCCCCATATACCCCAACTTCTTCTTATGCACCTTCAACTGTGCAATTCCAGTATAGGGTCTCAAATGGTAGATTCATAATCCACAGCTGGAGTTCAACGGTGGGTTCACAATCCACAGCCTTTAAGTCCTGCCCATCTGGGATAGACTAATTCTTAAGAATGGCAACAGTTGGAGCATAATCTTCTACAGAAAAATCTCACAGATTTAATATGCTTAATGTTTATCCTTCTCTGCAATGACCTGTGATTGTAAGAGGCAATATGAAGTACAAAGACTTTTGCATCAGACAAGATTTAAACCCAAGTTTCTTGACAGATTCTTCATTCTTTGATAGTCTTTGGTTCCTGGAAGATGTACATTATTACATGATTAACATGTTAATTGCATAAAAAACATGATAAATGGTAACATGTCACACGTTCAACCAATTTGTCGCCATAAAATGGCAAACCAGCCACAAAGATATTCGACATTTAATGGGAAAAATCTAATGTGGAACACCTTTGTGGCTGGTTTGTATGGCGTTTTAAATTGAACCTGTGACTGGGAGCTGATGGACTTTCCTGCTGCAACAGGTTGCTCTCCCCAGCAGTATTTTTTTTTTCCTCTTCTTATTTTCAAGGGCTCCCCTCATAGGCTGCAGATAGAAGTCCCTCAATGTTTCCCTTCTATCTTTTGTCTAGTATCCCACTTTTACTCGCCTGCTATGTCTTGATGCAAATATTATTTAGATGTTCTTACAAACAGGAGACTGCCTATTGTACTTCTATATTGGGGTTCTCAGCCACCACGGGCCTTGCCCCCCCTCCCCCATTTTTTTCTACCTAGGCCTACCAGTCTAAACCCACCAGATAGGGTTAGACTCCAAAGCTATAGCTCTTTGATCCCCTTGGGTCTCATGGCCTTCCTTTTGCTTCCAATATGGAGCCCAGGCTTTCTGGCCCAGAGACCCATCCACTGGGCATAGAGCCAGAAGGCTGTAAGTTCAAGGCTGGGCAGTTGGCCAGAGCTCCCACTGCCCAAGGTCACCCTTTCTTTTAGCTTAGGCTACTAGCCAAGTTTCTCCTACTGGGACCCAGCTTAAAAGTCCTGCACCCAGCTCTCAGATGCTAGCCCTATACAGCTACACACAATAGTGCACTAGGCCCCTTGGCCTTTTATGACTGTGCCTAAGGCACTAATGAGACCACCTCTGTTACCTCTCAGCTCCATGTTCTTTGGGAACCCTGACACAGGACGCAGACTGTCCGACTCACAAAGAATCCCCCCCCCACCTAAACAAAAACTGATTAAGATACAGTGAGAGACACACCTAAAACCCTCCAGATAAGGGTGACAAGAGTGAAACAACTGCCTAAGGTCTCATTTGCATCTGAAATGGAACCAGATGACCATTCATTTACATGGAAGATGGAGAACAGAAAGCCTGAAGCAGAGACTGCAGTGAATTCTGGGATCAGAGAAGCAGGGGAGCACTGCATGATGGGGAATCTGTGATCCAAATGCTAATCAACCTATAATTTACACACACCCAGCTCAGCATTTATCAGACCAGTTCTAAATCTGGATATACAAAGGACTTCCCCTCCCCCCCACACACCCCTCTAAGCAGAAGTAAAGTTTAATAGGCATCTCAGGCCGTACATTCCCCAGTCCCATTATGGAAGGCCTATTTAAAACATAATTGGCTAAAACTCAGTTGCCAAGTTAGGGAATGCTGAGGCAAGAGACCAAGTCAGAGGGGGTATGGGCAACATTTGGACAATGGTAAAGGGTTCATCACAGCATCCAGCCCATTGGAGCCCTGACCACAAGTGTTGTCATACTTTTCCCAGGACAACTGGTGGAAGTCCTCCCCTCCCACAGGTTATTAAGTCCTCCCCTCCAATTATTGCCTTAAGTCTGTTAAAAGACTATAGTAAGATCTAGAAAAGTCATGCTAAACTGAGGCTTGTTCACAACAAGTAAAATTCTAAAACCCTGATGCTGCAAGCTATCTATTGTTTCTGAAGAAACCAGGAGATATCCCATCAATATATCTGCTATCCATAGGAATTTCAAGCTGACTCGTAAGTGTCTGGTTACTCCCTAACCTTATATGTTTCCTGATTATCAATCAGTTCTGAGATGTTCCAACCCAGATAACCCCTTGTCAATAGAAAAGACAATTATTTACACTATTAAGAATGCTTTAAAGAAGCTGAACTGAGGGTATAAAAATCTGTAAAAGAAGCAGCAGTGTGTGTGCTGACACCATCTGCTGTTCGAGAGGCTGAAGGAGGCAGATCATCTCCCTTCAAGGATCGTGCTACAAACTTTACTTGTCATCAAACAACCAGAATGCTTTGGACTGGTGAGATCCCAGCACTCTCTCTCTCTTTTCTCTCTAGGCATAAAATTCTGAACCTGAACTGTATTAGTTAAGCTTGAGCTAAGTTTCCCCAAATACTTAGTGAAACCAGGGTAGTATTGTAACTGTTCGTGTTTGTTTTTCTTGCATGTCTATTACTACTAGTGCCATTATACATTTCATATACTTAGCAATAAATAACTTTTATAGTCAAACTGGCAGTAACTGGGTATATTTTTCCTTCTCTACTTCACTTTCCTCACTTGCTCTGCAGGAACACTTCTTTTACCTAAGTTAAAAATCCCGGTGAAGCCCAAAAATACTGTGGGGTCTGCTCATCAAGAGGCTAAAGATTGGGACGTGCTGAGTTTGAAACACATAAGGGGATCAGCTTGTACAGGCTGATTGACCCAGTTTGACTCAGACCTGCCCTAATGAACTGAATGCTGGCCCATGGACACCCAGCCAGATTCAGAGGTATTCTGTTTA